AGCCAAAGTTGACAACATGTCAGAAAAATACTACATATGTAGAAACTATCATGTAATCTAACTTACCAATGCAAAATTTGCAAAGTCGCACGATGTCTTGAAAACTTATTGGAAGGAATCAATTTGATTAGATCGTCAACCGCTTTAAGTTGTTTATCAATCTTGATGAGCTTAAGCGGGGATCAAACACAGACTGCTTGATAATATAGAACCTAATGTTGATATGATTCATCATACTTTTCATCACCTGATTTTCAACAAAGCAAAACACACTTTGATTATCACAATGAAGATTGACGTAATGTTGTGGCAATATCATCTCAATGATTAGCTTGATTAATCACATTCTTTGCTTTTGTTGTCTCTGTTGATGCATCATATTTAGCTTCAGTGGTAGTAAAATTGATGCACTTTTGACGAATAGATATTCAACTAACGCAATCACTTGTAAGAATGAAAGCATATCTAGTCGTTGACTTTTTCTTGTCAAAATCTTTCATATGATAAGCATACACATACCCCAAAAGTGATTTGGCATTTATTTCTTTAGCATCAAACAGTAAGTCATATAGTGTAGAACGCTTAAAATAACTAAGTATTTATATCATTGCTTCCCAATGCATCTTGTCTAGATTTGACATGTACACGTTCAACTTACCTACAACAAATGCTATATCCGGTCATGTGCATTATATCTAATACATGAGACTATCTACTTCACTCTCATAAAAGATAAAAGATATCAAACTTTTATCATCTGCATTTGTAGTACATTGCGCTGCTAAAAGTAAAAAATTAATAGCCAATGGAGTATACATAAGTTAACTTACGATATGTTGAACTTGACAAGCATCTTCTCTGCATACTTTTGTTGAGATAACCAAAGCTTTCTTGACTTCTGATCTCAAAATAGCTTCGTGTCAAAAATCTTCTTTATTGGATATACATATTTCATGTTGAAAGTTGAGCTCAACTGAGCCTTACACTTATCAACATCAAAATTTTTAAGAGCTGCAATAAGCATTTCATCAACATATAAGACAAGAATAATAAGCCCAAATTCCACATTGAAAATCTTCTTCAAGTAAACACATGTATCATATACATTTCATAGAAATCCTTGTGATCGCATGAAGTAGTTGACGCGTTTGTTTCATTGATTGAGTCTTCGCTTTAAATTGTATAACAACTTAATCAATCTGCAAACCATATCTTTCATGAGAAAATCTTGCGATTGTTGCATGAATATCACCTCATTGAGTAGTATATAGAGAAAAGTTGTAAAAACATTCATCTCATCAAACACTGAGAGCATTTGGAATCACAAGATCACATAACGAACGTATTATAGAATACTTTGCGACAACTGCAAAAAATTTATTATTATTCACACCTTTGCGTTGTGTGAATCCCTTGACTATCAACCTAGCCTTGAAAAATTTTTAATATGTATAAGTGAAACCTTTCTTCTTTGTGTAGATCCACTTACAATCCATCATTCTTTTACTTGGGACAACTTAACAAGTTACCAATTGTTGTTGGCATGAAGGGACTTTATCTCCTTCTACATCACTACATTCCACTCTTGCTTCTCACTAGAAGCTGGATTTTCATCTTCTGTGATCAAAGCCTCACTTGAATACTCAACATTAACTTTAATATCATCAATGACTAAAAATCAAGTGCCATAACTAGCAAAATATTGACGTTGAAGTGCACTCCACAACTACCACCTTGATGAAGATTCCGCCAGATTAATCGATGCTGGTTCTTAGTGTGGCTCCCCAGCAATCCACTCCTCTTGTTCCACAACAGGTGGAACCTCTCCTTGTGACCCATTATCAACGGTGTCGGGTGAAGAGCCTTGCTCCACACACCTTTGATGACCAGGGCAATAGCCTTGTACTTGTAAAAAATTGGTATGTGTGTTATAGACAAGGGGTTAAATTATCTAGAATGGAAAAATGTTTTGGAATGAAGTGGATTGTGGCCGATGCATGATCAATATGAGTGACTCCAAAATTTTAAGGTGGAATTGCGAAAGATCGGTACATGATAGCCTTGGAAGACTCGGTCAAGAATGTTAAGAACGAGCTACACGAAATTCAACGGAAAGTTGAGGGATCGTTTTATAAAATGTATCAGTTTCGAATGACTAATTAACAACAAGGTTGTGTACCGGTCGCAAGGACAAGGGGAAGTAAGAGATGAAATCCGCCCAAGTGCGATGACAAGCTTGACGTTGATCGGCTACTGGGATAGAAAGGTAACCAACAATGCATGGTGCCACTTCCACATTCTCCAGGTGAAAGGACCAAAAGGCGTTAGGTGCTGCTTGTTATGTGGTTATGTACTAGTGGGTGCTCTGTGTAGCTGGAAACCACAGAGGGAATTCGTGCCCGCGACAAGTGTCTTGTGACAAGTCAGGACTCAGGGAAACGAGGCCATACTTGTACCAGCCCAGCCAGCGTATGAAGATATAGAGGAAATCATGCACTGACAGCTTGGAACAGACCATAACTCTTGTAAAGTGGCGCCCTGGCATAGTCAGGCGTGCTGAGGTTTTGGTTGACACTGTCCAACATCGACACGTGGCCTCGTCTCGAGTTCGCCTGTCAGAGGCTTGACTTACTTTACCTTCACCCTCCAGGTGAAAATGCGAGCAGACGGGACAAAGGCGCTGGCCCTGGAGCCCTGGAGCCCCGGACCGACTGAGATTGACCTGTTTGTTTGTGCAGTGTCTGCAGAGCGAGTGTCCGAGATCCAAGTGTCACATGCATCGACTTCCTGCTCGGACCTTTCCGCGGCTGGAAACCATGACTGTCTGATGTGGATGAACACTCAACATTCTCCAGGCACCTGAGGGAGGAGGCGGTGACAGCGTACAGGGAAGTCACATTTTCGGACCTTCGAGCTGAGCTCAGATAAACCAGCCGGGGCAGAGCAGTGCCAAGTGTCGTGCAGATTGGCGAGCCAAAAATCTGGAGTGTGAGACCGGCTGGAAAAAGAACGGTGTAGTGGGTGTTCCCCCAGGCTAAGTTTAGTCTGTTTCACGTCTCGGGAGAATAGTTCACGTGATCAAACGAGCACGATATCGACACAAGCTCCGAACAGTTCCCTCGCTGAGAGCTGGCATTGCACTGCGTGGACGATTTTGGAGACTGGCCCGTCGATTGGTCAGGCCGTACCCGATTTCTAGCCGCATGTCTCGACTTTACAGATGCTCTGCGAACCTAAAGGGTTTGGGACCGTGCACCCACTTGGGGATTTTGTCAAAATTTCGCTTCCGGGCTGTGAAGTCGCTGCAGCGAGCAGGCTGCATGCTGAAAGATCAGCGGATGCCGCTTCAGAGCAGGGAAGCGGATTGGACACACGTCAATTAGCTGCATCGTAACTATTTGAGCACGACCCTTCTCCTTGACGAGTGCAAGCTGGCGTTCCAGCCTGAAGATGTGGGCTTCGATGGTACAGACGGTGCCATGCCTTGTTTCAGATTGGTTTTGTGGACAACACAGCGTGTAGTACAAACAGTATCAACAACATTCACTTTTCGAGGATGCAGAAGATAAGTTGTATGTGCATTTGATTTTGACGTTAAATGTGGAATATCGCTTCGATGATGCAGAGACATTTGTTGCATCTGCCCGTGCAACGTTATCGAAACACCGTCTGGAAAAGCGTGAGAGATTTATTGCTCTGAACCATCCAAAGAAGATTCTGACAAAAAGTGAAACGGATCTTCCAGATTTTCAGACAGACTCGTCAAATTTGACGTTTGCGAACAAAGTCTTCGTCGCGTTGACAGAAGATGAACGCTGTGAAATTACTGTCCAAACCAGATTTTTATCTCTTGCGGAAGGGTCAAGCGCTAATTCAAACCACACGTAGTCGAATCAGAAAGTAAATACAGCTAGAACTGATCAATTCTCTTTGAAGCTGTTCTTCGATATATCACTTAAGTTTCCCCTAGATTTCTCATCTCCAATAGTTTTGCCGGTCATCCGTCGAACTCAATGCAATGAAGTTGCTGCATGAAGAATCGAAGAAAGATCGGGTACTCTATTGGACACCAATACACAACTAGAGAATGATCTTTGGTTTCTTTACAGAGAGGAATGCATACTTATTAGTAATCTGACGGCGTCCTTGGCTAGTCAGCAGGTCATAAACTTGAAATCTGTTTAAACTTCACATCACATTTACATTTGCATGTTGTGCTTTGTATCTGTTCCTCCCGAACTCTTCCGATTTAACAAAAAAAATCTTCCTCTCATTCGTCATTTGCTGCAATGGACTTAAAGGTTACAAATTGTTACGATGGGGACGATTATCAATCTTTCAAGTCGCTGTTGGATATACTCTACACTTCGCGACAGCTAAGAAAGACCAGTAAGCAACGGTGTAATAAAAGCCATTTAAACATCAGAATCGCTGCGTTGCAGTTGTAAACAGTTCTGCTAACTTCAGCAGAAATAGTTTGAACAGAGTATACTCACAATATTTGAAGCAGTCAGAGGAAAATTCTTACTCATTCGGTAGTGTACGCGAAAGCAGACTCGATAAGTGCAACTCTATTTCTCAGTTGATATTTGCAGTAGTGACACTAATTATGCATGAACTGGTTCACTTTTAGGTCTAGGAAGCTAAAGAAGTAACAGAAATGGACTATTTTTCCTCGGCTTTGACATAGTTTCTACCAACTTTGAAATGCGGACATATGCAAAACGGACAAGTATCATACGCTGTATACCAGGGCGGAGGCCTAAATCTGTGCATGATGGCGTAAGGCAGACGCCGTTAACAATTTACATCGTTTTTGTTTTTCATATTTGTTCAGGTGAAGTTGTTGAAGTTGTGTTTTCGATAAACGATGAAACTCGTGAGAAGAGGCAGTAAGAGGAAGGGTACAAGGTACAGGTCCATACATCATCATCGTGAGCAAGAGTGACATGCAAGCAACGAGAGAGAGAGAGTGCCTTGTCAAGGCTCTGGCAGCGGCGCATGAGAAAGAGTCACGGACTTTTACAAATAATGGACAATCATGTGCGAAGCGAAAACGTTTCGCACATTATATCCCCAGTCGGAAAATCCTCTAATCTACACTAAACAAGAAATTACGTTCTTACACTTCTGAAACACCATTTGGGTTTCGAAGGTCGAATATCCTACTCCTCCTATCCCCTAGAAATTTGCCTGGCTGCAGAGGCAAAGCTGTAAGAGTTGTAGAAGAGAAGGCATTTTTTAGACATATAATATCTTCCACACTCAAATTCCTGCTGCCGGTTGGAAGTAGGAAGGGGAAAGAGAAGGCCAACTACGGCTACTCTGAAAACACTAGGACTACGATGGCGTGACTAACTAAACATCTGATTGAAGCCCGCCAGGGATTTCTGAGCCTGTAGCACACCACAGTGCGCAAGCTTGGTGACATTGAGGGAGGGCGGAAGTTCATTGCAAGTCTAATCTCCCCGTCGATACGGTAAAGACTGCACTCGTTGCTGAAAACCGAATCAAAATACTTCCACTCAAGAAGCCGCTGTGCATTTTGTCAGTTGCGGTGCACAGCGTTTCAAGAGTCGAACTGAAAGATCTGCCCCGACCGGTAGTGTGTGTCCATCAAATCCGCTCGTCAGTCGCATCGTACAAAATAGTCTACCCTCCCATCATCCAACAATGATCCCTCCACGTTCTTGTCGTCAGAAATCACCCCGAGCTCACAGTCTCTGCAACTCATCCATAATTCCTCTAGCCTAAAAAAATCCCACATCTAGCCCAGCTAGTGCCGCGCTACACTACACTCCGCAAGTGCCACATTTGGTAGCAGCTTGCGGTTATTACACCCCTACCTGTACTATCAACTGATCCTCACCTTCTGCCCCCTCCCATCCCTCCCATCCCTCCCTCCCTGCCCACCGCCCCTGTTATACATTATACAGAGCCCTCAGCCTCCTCCTGCCACGTGTTTCCATTTTCATACATGAGCAACCCACTTCCACTTTGATGTTTCACATGACTGGGCCTCCAGCAAGCGAACACTTTCCCTTCTCCTCCTCAATCCGTCCGTGGGAGAATTGTGAGCGTGAAGAAGTCTCCTGTGACTGCCGCAAGTATTACACAAAGATTGATGTTTATAGGAGTTCTGATAGGGTACACCCTGCCATGCCCGCCGCCACCCACCGAAGTTCCAACCATTTACCATTGGCTCATTCGATCATTTTGTACGAGGAGAGGAATGAGCCACTGCCTCTCTCTCTCTCTCTCTCTATTTCTCACTCTCTGTCAATCATCAAGTTCTCGTCATGACTTGGAACTCGTGAGATGGCGGCACGCAGTTCATGTCAAGATGCCCACCGTAACATCACGTATCAACACGCCTATAGCTGTAACAAAATGTTGCTTTCCATGGAGATAACTGCACTGCTTTTTCCCCGCTTTGCTCCTCGTCCGCTCTTCCTCCTCCTCCTCTTCATCAGTCCGGTGTCACGATCTTCTCGTAACATCGTGGTTTCGCCAAGAGTCGTATGATTGCTCATTGTTGCGGTCGGTCGTGCTCGTGCTCGTGCTGGCGCTCGAGCTCTAGACTCTTTTCGTCGGCCCATTGGGCTCCTCGGCTTCCGTGTGGTGCTTTCTCGCCTCCGTTTGCTGCCCGGCCATAGCAAAGAACTCGCAGATAATCTCGAGGGGCAGACCCTTGGTCTCAGGAACCTTAAGGAACACGAAAATCCAGGCGACAAAGCTCATCGTGGCAAAAAATCCAAACACTCCCACCAGCCCGTACTTGGCGTTGGCGATGGGGAAAGCATACGACACGATCACGTTCGATACCCACATGGCTGCGGACGTGATACCGATGGCAATACCTCTGACTCGGGTGGGGAAGATTTCCGAGCACATGATGTTCGGAATCGGTCCGAATCCCATCACGAAGCAGCAGATAAACGTGGCCACTCCGATGAAAGATCCAATCGCTTGAAACAAGCCCGGCGCGACCAGAGTGTTGACGAGGATCACGCAGACGAGGGACACGCACAGAACAGGCAAGGTGGACAGCAAAAGTTGTCTGCAGGCACATTCCACCGCAGTCATGTCAAATTCCGCCCGTGGCACATTTCGGACAAGCCAGATGCAGACAATCCACAAAAGCCAAACACAATCCTTGATATGCACGTACCTTCTGCCAGACTTGTCCATAAGCCACATGGCCAGGAAGATGCACGGGAGCATCATCAGACACGTGAAGGCACTGGCCATAATGGAGGCGGAGTCCGCGTTGATACCGGCACTCGCAGCCATGGCATCGGCACCAGATTGTTTCAAAATTTGAGGGGTGAAGTAGAGCACCGCGTTGATTCCACAAAACTGACGCCGACACAAGACAAGACCAGGAGTCCTCTGTCAGTAAGTAGCAGCTTCGAGTTCCGATCCCAGAGAGCAGAAAGGAGATAGCAGATAGCTGACAACATTGCAACCAGCACACGCGGAGAGATTCATGAGTCGAAAGTCACTACAAACCTGCTGCAGCACTTGAAGACCCACACCGACGATCAGAGCTCTCTTCACTCCCACGTCCATCAAATCCGACCAGGCGGGTCCCTTGGTAGCAGTCTCGGAAGGATGAACCATAGCAGGACCGACTGCGTGCTCGTTGAGTAATTCCTTGCTAAATTGGACCGAGGGACCGATCAACGCCGCTGCCTGAATAGAGTCCTCTCCTCCAATGCCTGGCAGGGACATGTGCGAATTGAATCGCGAGGTATCATGGCCTTCCTGGAGCAAGAACACTCTCTCGAACCGGCCATCTTCGCCATCAGTTCTCCAGGCCAGCTGCCACCCGCCTCCAATGCCACCAACGCTGCCGACTTCACCAAACATTCCATCGATTCGCGAGCTCGTTCTGGATAGTCTCATTGAATTGCCCCGGGACAGGTTCTTCGAGCCTTGTCTAGACAGCACGTTGGTTTTGCTCTGGCCCTTCAGGAGGGGGGTTTGCAAAGTTTCATCCATATCTCCAACCATACCTTGGTCCACATCCTCCGACTGATAGCCTCCGTTCACTCTCTGACCTTGTTCTTCGTCTCCTCCCCAGAATGAGTTTCTTCGCGATTCAACATGTTCGGAAAAGTCCGAGGGGAGGTTTTCTGCGGCTGTTTGCAGGCTTCCCATCAGAGAAACCATGTCATCGACGAACGGCATGCTGTGGCCGTCCATGCTGGGTCGCCTCGAGAGCAGGCTCAAGCCAGATTCGTCCTTCAGAGGCTGCGCGACCCACGCTGTGTCCTCGCCGAAGAGGGTGAACTGACCTTCGTCGGGATGTGGCGCATCCAATTTGTCGGCTGGCTTCAACAACCATTCCTCCAGCTGCGTTTGAGCTCCAACTCCAAGACCCTCGACGAGCAGAGCAAGTTCAGCTGCGCACAGAGGAACACAATTTGTCAACCGATTTGCCAAATTCGTCTCTCATGGACGAAACAAACAATTTGGCAAATAACTGGATCTCAGAGAGTCGAGGGAGTCCAGAGACAGAGCAAATGCGCACGCACCTGAAACATCATGCTCCGCGCCTCGGAGGTTCTGAAGCACGTGTCTCGCCTCGAGCATGCGACCCTTGCTCACGAGCCACCTGGGAGATTCCGGCAGATAGCAGACGCACAGCGCGAGGTAGAGGGCTCCGGGGATGAGAATGATGCCCAAAATCATGCGCCAACTGGGCTCGGCCATGAGCGAGAATCCGAAGACCATGCAGTAGGCCAGGAAGAGCCCGGACGAACCCAGAAGCTGTGGCAGGGTTGCTAACTGCCCTCGGATTTCCGTGGGAGCCGATTCAGAAATGAGGATGGGCACGATGGTCGCGGCCAATCCGATACTCGTTCCGACGAAGAAGCGCCCGACGATGAGCACGTAAATGGTCGGCGACCACACCATGAGACTTCCCGCGAAGACGAACAAGAAGGCCGACACGCACAACATGGTCCTCCTTCCGAGCGCATCTGACGATGGTCCCGCGCACGCCGTGCTCACCACAGCGCCTATCAGGGTGGACGCAACCACCATGCCTTCGAGAGTTGGGTTCTCCTCAAGATGAAACTCCGTCTTGAGGTACAGCAGTGCCCCTGCATGGTCGTCGCCAGAGCACACGCGCAGAGTTAGAGATTGAGAGGGAAAGACAGACAGTGAGTTAGAGTGTGGCACGCAGCTCTTCCACAACAAATCCGCACGAGAGCTGATTCGAATCTACTGCAGTTCTCTCGATCAGCTCCAGGATTCTCTCCCGCTGCCTTTGATCGAATGCTGATCAGGCCGCGACGAGACATCAAGTGCTCACCCTCGCGCATTCACGCATCGGACATCGAGTACATGGGGAAGCAGATAGGGTAGGGTAGTGCGGACTCACCGGCAATCGCAGCATTGTCCCATCCTTGGAGCAAATTCCCCAAGGACGCAGCTGTCGCGACTGATCGTGCTCCCTTCATTTTGGATGACCACGAATGTAATCTACATTCACTTGCAAGAGTTTGGATCGTCCAGTATCCAGGAGTGTAGAGCGCTGCCCGATGCTAGCCCCAGCCGGTACGTTAAACCGTAATATTATATTAAGCCAGCGGCAATGCTGGTGGAGGCAGGATTCGACACCAATAGATTCTTATTCGCCGTTTCCTCGATCGCAAGTGCCACTCCTGCTGTAATTAAGCTTCCCTGAATGAATTGGGAATGGCAATTCCGACGAAACAGATTGTCGACACAGACGAATTTCGCTACTCCCGATGGGTAGAGCTACTGTAGTGAATCGAATCGGTAGTGTCAGAATGGAACGGTTGCAAATTCTTTTCTGTCGAGATCAGGATAGATCGATCGATCGGTTGAGAAACAGAAAACAGAGTCCAACGGACGGGCCCGGAGCAGATCTTCTGCCACCTCTCGTCGCAGAATGGGTGGAACCAGCCGATCGATCACAGAAAAACCCCCGCGATCTCTTTCTCAAAATTCAAGCACAATCTCTAGCCAAGCCAAGCCAAAAAAGCCAAGCCAAGCGCTTATAAGAAGCTCCTCCAGCTTGCCTAGTCAAAATCCGCCGCTTCTTCTTCTTCTTCTTCTCCGCGACCTCCTCCTTCTTTCTTCGTCCAAGTCCAGTCCTGCTGGCTCCTAACTTAGAGCAGAGGCACGCACACACAACAAGAGCAATCGAGCAGCACACGGTGTGGAGTGAATTCTGCCCGGATGGGCAAGAGCCTACTGCTGCGGCAGCTGCCTGCTGGCTGGCTCTCTCTCTCTCCCTCTGCTTGCTGGCTCACGCAGCGCAGACGCAGAGCAGAGCAGAAGAGCAGAGAACAGACGCTGCGAGGTCTCCTCAAGAGGATGTTGAGCTGAGCTGCAGTGTTGCCCGCTGCTGCTGATGCGAGGAGGGGCTCGATCGAGTTCACAGCGCGAGGAGGGAGGGAGGAATAGGACTGAGTGTACCGGGCGAACAGAGACCACCGCTGTAGATCGGTGTTCGTACTTTGGCTCTCTCTGGGCACATACAGCCCCATTTCATCAAAATGCGGAGCACGGTAACTACACGTTTACGGAATTCACCCGGCCCTCTTTCTCTTACCGCGCCAAGCGCCATGGCTAGCCTGTCCCCCGGGAGGGGTCGACACGTGGACAGCTGGACAGAGTCCTCCACGTGGACGGAAGTAATCCGACGCTCGAGAATCTCCTCCCCGCCAGCGAACTCGGCTACTCGTAGAGTGGAGTTTTGGACGGTCCAGATTCGTGGGTACATGTGAGGAGGACGTCGATCTGACCGCCCGCGTCGACTACTCCAGCTTTTGGGTCCCTCTTGGGCCTCCGCCCCCTCTAAGACTCTCTAATCGCCCTCGCTAACCGGCCGCTAACTGCGTTTAGTCTCGGACATAATCGGGACTCGGTCGCCGTGGAGCGCCATCGCCTGACGAGGCCAAAAGCTCGCCTCCCGGTGCCCATCGCAGATCGCCATTAGCCCCGATTATGTCCCGATTAGCTTCTGCTGAACACGAACGGTGCTCGCCTGCCGCATCTACGGCGTAGATCGTCGGCAGGAGGGTAATCGTCGTGACACGTGTGCTGGTAACTACCCGCTCATAGGTGCCGTCGGAATCAGCTTCAACTCCGCAGTCGTCAGATTCAGCTCATCCGACGGTTCCGAACTCCGGTTTCTTCCTCGATTTGTATCTTTGCGAGTAGGTGAAGGCATCCGGCCGCATTGCACCGAAAGATCCGGTGAATGTTGTTTCATTTATCGGGGCGATAACGGAGACCTGAGACCGAGATCACTGCAGTAGCGGGACACCACGGTCGACGGAGGACCGAGTGATGCGCGTACCGTCAAGCTCCAGCCTACTGTACTCTGGTCTTGACAAACATCGCCTCGTCGCCAAGAGTCGCGCTTCTTTGGACGATGGTGGTGGGATGTCCACACCGTAACGAATCAATGCCAAGTTTTGTGCGAGCGATGATGACGTGCTTGCGATTGTCGTGGTTTGCTGGCATATCGCAATTGCTCAAAAGTGTCGGCCTTGGCAAATTCCTCGCCAGATGGTTCGCGGCCGAAGCTCAGCTCTGTCCGAAAGAAATAATATTCACGAATACACCACTATTATAGTAGATGAGGGATTATGACCTCGGTGATCCATGTTATATTCACTTTCTGCTGACTTTGAACTATTTTGAACTATTTCTTTGTGAAAGTTCGCGTTGGTTTATTATATGGGCTCTTGCTGCGGCAATCATCATGCTTGTTGGATAATGCACTGGAAATGTTTAAGAGCTTTTCTATTTGCACAATGTTACTATTTTTCATCCACAAGTATCTAACTACATCCATGCAGATGAGGTTTACACATTGTACACTTACCGACATATATCTATATATATTTCAATTGTAAAGCGTAGTCCTAAACTGGATTTAACATGGAATCTCATAACTATTGTGATAATGATAACAATAACCATTTCATTCGAATTGAAGTAGATGTATGATTACAAATGGTACAAGATAGAAGTAATCTTTCTACTTTATTGGAAAATGTAACAAGAGCAATCAAAATTTGGAATTATGAATATTAAAATATGGAGAACAAATTTTTAAAACTTAGATTTATTTGAAATGATGGGAATCAACTTCTCAGCAAGAGAAGTCACCAAAAAAAAACTATGCAACATGATATATCACTTTATTCAATATTTTGTTTACTTCATTTTAGTAGAAATTGAATCTATGTTTCTCTATGAAGGATAAAGTAAACTACTTGGACATGATTATTGGGATACTCATGTTGCAAAGAGAACTTTGACCTAAATAGTTAACACATTGAAGTTGATATGCTATGTGGTTCTCATTGTGATGCTTTGGTGGTGATGTTTTCTCATGAAACCATTTCAGTTGATGTACAACATTGTTACCATTGATACTTTTGGTGTCTAGCCCAATGTGTTCCCATGAAACCTGAGGATAATAAGCACGGGGTGTTTAAACAGTGGGGTATTTTTCTCTTTCTTTTTGCCCCCATTTACTTCGTTCCCGCTTGTTGAGGAATCGTCGAACTCCAGCATTGTATGAGAAGAGATCAGAGATCAGAGAAGCTCATGCCAGATTCCAGAACGCGGGATTCATGAGATTTAGACGAACTGTAACGACTCGAGTGTTCTCAGCAAGCGAGGACAAGCTTGCTGAGAGTCGATTTGACACATCTGCTGTTGCCACCGTGCCCAGAGGCAAGAACTCAGTAGTGCTGATTTGGCTCATCTCAGGTTACTCGCAACCGGATTCAAGCGGCTGTTCGATCTCTGGAACATGCGTGCGTGAAACAAACTTGGACTTGAGGATGGAGTGAGGATTGCGCAGGACAAGCGTCGTTGGACTGGAGTTGTTACTGTGATGAGACACGGAGCGAGACATGGGCGAATTTGGTTCAAGTTCAGGTTGTGATCGTCACCACACGGATATAAAAAGATTCGGATTCCACGCACATCAAGGCCGCTAACACGATCACGAAGTTCAGGGACCAGTGCATTTGACAAAGGCTGAACTATCCAAATGTGGTGAAGTCAACCTTGCGGATCATACGCACAGTCTTCCTCTCTGTTATCGCTCTGAGGTGTGTTTACCAAGAGCATGTTTTAACCCCAATCAGCTCACTAAAGCACGTGACGCACCACACGCACTCTAGAGAATGTGATATTACAGTATACGTCTTGGACAGTGTCTAATGAACTGCGGTTGGTGTCCAGTCTTCTTGAGTGGAGGCCGCAATCTCTAACACGCATCGCAAATGTGTTATAAAAATTTTTGACAGTAAACAGAAGTTTCTCGGGAAAACCTTTTTCTCCCAGAAGGCAGAAAGCTCGGTAAAGGAAGGTTGATCTCGTGATAGGAAATGTCACAATCGCATGCGATGCGAGCGAGAGAGAGAGAGAGAGAGAGAGAGAGAGAGAGAGAGAGATGGACGGACGGACGGGAACTGGATAGAGAAGAATAATAAAGGTGGAAGTGAGGTGACATGACAAGCGGGTGAGTGTATGCCACAGTGAGTAGTGGGCATGTGGAGGTGGTGACTAAGATTCGCTCCGAATCAGCGCACTTAACAGGAATGGATATATCCGCCAAAGATTGGTCCCCATTGCAGTCTGCATGAACGAACTCTTGTGTTATAATTATTCTTCATTTAGCGAAATACTGTATTACATGGTGATATAAGCTACCATCTTTTCAGGTCTGGATGGATATGGAGCAGGTGTTGCCGATCGTACAGGAATAAGCTAAGATGTCTATGTGTACACAGCTTGTCTTTAATGTCCAGTTGTTAAACTGGCCGTCGGGTGATAACCTCCATATCCCGAGTTGATGACTACTCGATGACAACTTCACCAACAGTCCTCTATATTCCTTTCCGTGGGACTGAACTGGTATTGATATGGGGCAGTTTTCTGCTCTCGCTTTATGGAATTGTGCCCATTTTGTGTCAAATATCTGTCTATAGCATTTATTGTGCTTTGATTGAAGATCGAATGATGAATCGATGGTCTGGGGTGCAACGGAGATGCCTCTCTCAACTCTCCAACCTGCAAAGTAGGTGATGTCTAAGATTCCTCTCCGCTCCAAAGGTAAGTTCTGCAGTTTCACAAATATAATATAAGAACCTCTTGTTTGCTAGCTTCCTTTCCCACACCACTTTTGACAAGACAGGCGATGGACTTGCCAGTCCTCCAGGGTGTCTTTGATTCTTGCACGCATGAACGAGATCAGAGAACGGATACGAGTGTTCAGAACCAACAATGAGTGCAATCAAAGACAACATCCATCTGACCTTGCATTTTCCTTTTCTAGAATCTGGACTGCTCTGAAGAATCTTTATCCAAAGGATGATCCCTTCTTCAAACCTCATTAGCGTATTTATTGTTAAAACTGAGATTTTGACGTTCTTCTAGGACTTCGTGACAATATGTATCTAGTTGCTTTGCATGTCACATTGGACAAGAATAATTTGGCTTCCGCGTCGCATGGAAGAAATAAAAGAAAACGAATGAAATAGGGCAGTGAAAAAGTGACTCGACGACTCTCTCACCATCTTGTCCTTGTCCAGAATTCTGACTTTCCAGGGTTTGTTCTTCATCCTCAATCACTTTATAGATTTTTCGGGTGCAGACTGCCCCTTATGTGCCTTTTGCCATAATTTTCTGCTTTTTGCCCATGGCCTTTAATCTCAGAAATCTTTAAAGAGAGATGGGCTAGAAAGATGTTGTTTCTTCTACATCAGCTAGTATGGCTTTATGTACACACTGTGTACTACCTTGAAGCCTTGATGAGAATCGAAACATGTGGCAACTAGAAACTCTATTTCTCATCTGCTTTCTTCAAGGTGTAAGATCTTGCTGCTCTGACTTAAGTTGCAAGCTTTTCAATGCCTAGAAAGAAAACGACCAAAACCCGTAGATCGTCCTCACTTGACGCATAAACAGCAACAAACGAGCTCCTTTGCATACGAAATGAAAACAGAACGCCTTTTGAGGTATAATGCGCAGAGCACATCTGATTTCTCGCGTGTGATGACTCACTCAAAAGGAATACAAAACAAAATCACAACGTTTAGCCAAAGTAATGAAAAGCTTGTAAAGAAGCTTACCTAGAAGGAACGATAGGTTTTCTTATGCATTCTATATTCACATTTCAGATCCACTAACCGAGAAAAAGTTCGCCCATTTCTTTCAGGTTGTAAGCATCTTTCAAGACAACAGCACTCATCGTGGAAGGCTGGACCACATCTGAGGACCATTTTGTAGATGCGACCTTCGCAGCACGAATTGTAAGGATCACGCTGGAAGAGAATAGATTGTTTGCAGATCCCGAGAGCACCTTTGCAACTTGACTTGATTTTTGGAGCACATTAGATCTCAGCGGACACTACACCTAGAGTAGCAACTCAAGTACAGCTTGATATCACAAAAAATTGGAAGTAACTATATTTCAA